ACCTAGGGAGTTTTAGGGGGCAGGTTGGGAATGGTCTCTGTGGCATCCGTCCACATTCAGTTGGCCAGACCTTTGTTCTATGGCCCCACATGACCACAAGGAAGTGTAGTCTATGTGTCTGGGCAGGAGAAGAGGGCCATGGGGTGTGGTGGGCCCATAGCAATTTTTGTCACATGTGCCAGAATGCTGTTCTACACCTTGCTCTTTTGGTTTGACAACAAATTTTAGCAGCAACCATGTCAGTTCCTCAACCTTCTAACAGTTGCATAGGACTCAGTTTCACAGACTGCACCATAATTTCTTTAACCAGTCCAAGATTCAGTTATCCTCAGTGCTTTCTTTTTCCCCTTTCTTTTACCTACAATGAATGTTCTCATCCTTATGTCATTCCACACTTGGGCAGGTCCGTCTGCAGGACAGATTCTCAGGTGACATGTTGTTTACAAAATGGTATGGACACTTCTATACCCACTACTGAATAGTCTACTGGAAGTTACACAGATTGATACTCCCAGTAGCCATTTCATTGTTTGATAAACACAGTTTAAATCCATCTCTGTTGTTTCAGAGGGAGCCTCATAGTGTGGGTAGTGCCCACGTGCCCATGTGCTAGGCCTTAACCTCCTCTTCTGTCCCTCAGGAGTCCTAAGTGTCTATTTCTATTCCCCAAACATGTCCTGTGCCTTCTGTCCTTAACACGTTATTCCAGCAGTTTCTTTCATTTTAGATTCAAGTACAGTGAATATTTCTTGAGAAACAAACAGGACTGGTACTAGGTAGGATCCTATGCACCTGTCTTTACATTTGATCCACAAAAGCAACTCTAAGGAGTAGATATTTCACACCCATGTTGCAAGTGGAGAAACTGAAGTTCAGAGAGACCACGGTCACTTAATCAGCATCTGCTGCATTTTCATCAGGCACGTTGAATCTATTCTTTCTCCCTCCCCAGTGCTTCTCACAGCAAATTGTATCTTGTGCAGGGGAAGGGAAATGCCCACCTTGAGCTATCTCAGCATCCCAAAGCTGCCTGCCCCGAGGGAGTCTGATCTCTTTGAAGTCTCCTATTTGTATTAAAAATACACACACATTTGAATTTCACTTTTTAATATAGCTGCATTTATTTTAATATTTAAAATATTTCAAATTACTTGCTCTCATGTACAACTAAAACTCCAGGAAGCTGCCAGTTTCCTCTGTGGCTCGTGAACCTGGCCCACGGCCCCCAGGACAGACAAAGGAGCAGGGTTCTCTATGTTGATGCTCTATCAGTGGTCTCTTACCCAATTCAAGACCCAGCTCCTGTGCCGTTTCCATGTCAAGCACCCCTGTGGGGCCACCAAGCCCAGACTGCTGTCTCTGTCCTAGAAAACCATTATAGTTTAGCTCCCTGCCTCATACTGAAATTGCACAGTGTCTTTTTTTTTTTCATTCAGTCCACCCATCACATATCTTGAAGTACTTTTCAGCAGAGAAGGGACTTGTTAAACTTTTAATGAACAAAGCATTGGAGATGATGGGATACATCATTGTGTTAACCACTTTTACTTTTCCAAAGGACTTAGGAATTGCTGAAATAATGAAAGCCTACTTCTGAGTCTCAGATTCCCTTAAACACTCTTAAGTCTTGCTTTCAGCAATTATGTTCACTTGGTGTTCCCTCACAAAGAACACAGTTTGCCCACGCATGCACACGCCATTCCCAGTGACATTCCGTCGCACGGACTGGCACAGGGCGTGCCGTGTGTTCTGGTCCTGTCTCTGGAAAATGGGGATGATTGCATTTGCCAGCTACCACTCAGGAATGTTGTCAGAGTTGATGAAATAATGTTTTTAAAGTGTCTCTTTGGAAGTAATATGCCACATAAATCACGGTCCTCTATAAAGGTTGTTATTTTAGTGTTTATTTATTTAGTAGCTGTGTAAAACACTGATATTTCTTCCCAGATAAGTCATATTGAGGTACTGGATGCCTTAATAATCAGGCCCAACCAGACTTGTGTATCTATTCTTTTTGGATGAACTTGAGGATGAAACTGGGTACATGTTCTCTCCACTCTTGGGAGTTTTCAAGTTAAGTATCTCTGTGAACATAGGACAAGGCCATGGTTAACCTAATCCCAGTGCATGTGTGAGATCACAGGTGCCACTCCTGCATTCTGGGGAACATAGTGACATTTTTGTGTCCCCCATATTATCTGGATTTAAAAAAAATCAAAACCCAATATTTAAAAACCTCACTGCTTTTGCGAAGCATCCGTAAATCTTCCATCCGAGAGCCTCAGGCCCATTGTTCCAAATTACACACCTTGTACAGGATGGTAGACCATCTAAAAACTGAATGATAGGAGTTTTAAATTAGCAACTGTTTATAAATGTATTGTCCAATAGCAGCTAGCCACAGATGTGAAAATAAAATAATTCACTTCTTCAGCACTAGCTTATAGTTTCATTATTCAGTAACTTGTGTGGCTAGTGTCTCCTTGGCGTGCAGTGCAGTTACAGAATGTTTCCATCATCACACAAAGTTCTGCTGGACGGTGCTGGTCAGTGAGATTTATATCCCACACGACTAGTGTCTTCAGCTGAAATAGTTTTACCTTTCTGTTCCTCCCGTTCACCCTGTCCTAGATATTTCCCCCTTATACCATAATGAAAGATTTTCATTGTTTGGGCCTTAAAAGCAGTCTCGTCTCCAAGGCCGTGGTTTGAACACAGAGAGAACGGCATGTGGAACCCCCATCTGGAGGTTGGTGCAGCACAGACCCAGCCATTTCTGAGAATTTGTCTGGGTTTGGAGTCACTCCCAGAACTCTGATTTAGCAGCTCCTAAGCTTACAGCCAGTCTGAAAGCAACACAAATCTGTTTTGCATATATAAATAAATCCTCGTGTGCTGCACGCCATTCCCAGCCGCCAGTTTCCTCTGGCTGCTCCAGAAAACACAATTCCATAGCACATTAGTTAACCTGCATGCATGGAATGGGTATTCTGCTTATTGAAATGTTCTGGCTAAGTGATCCACCTGATTTTTGCAGAAAAACTGCTGAGGCAGGGACTTTCTCTCCAAGATGTGATGTGGCACCACCAGAACCCCGTCTTCCACGTGATCACAGCTGCATGGCCTCCTCCCTCCAGCTCTCAGGAATACATGTCTTTGCTAAAAACTTCAAATGTGCAATTGACATACTCTCCAAAAGGCCTCATAAAAATAAATCAGCAAGGCTGTTTCAGATTATCTTAGAAAAAAAGAGTAAACTTAGAAGGAAAAGTAAGATCATTGCCCAAATTTGACACAGTTGTAACCTTTAAGAATTCCTGATAGCAGGGCGGTTTTTTTCAAATAGTAATTTTGAAATATTTAATCACATATTTTATTTTCTTTAGTAATAAATTCTTAAAATGTTTAATAAGTGGCAAAGCTGTAAGGGCTTTACAAATGCTAATTCAATTCATTTAGTTTTTATAACCACCTTAAAATTAGATATCACAATTATTATAGTAATTTTAAGGATGAAGAGACTGAGTCAAGGAGAGACGGGTGAGCCATCGCTGACCTACCTGAATGCTCATTGTACATGTGGTCAAGCATTAGTGGATGCGTACTTAGGTCAATGAGAGGGCTCTTCCTTCCTCCATAGCCCCTTCCTACTGTTGCATGAGTGGAGTGGTGGGGTCAGCTTGAGGACGGGACATGAGGGACTCTGGCAACACCCAGTACGGTCCACATTAGAAAATGGAGTCAAGAAAGGCTTTTCTTAATTTCTGTGTAATCCATACTTATGATGTGTGAGGATATTATGGATACACACGTAGTTCATTTCATCTGAATAGATGCGACTCTCAAAAGTAATTTTTTTTTCAATTTAAAAAATATATTTTGAACAATGAGCTAGCACTAGCTGGAATGGAAGCAACACAGAATTGACTAAGGCATCGTTATGACCCTGGATACGTTCCCTCTTAAGGTGGAAACGGTCAAACACAAAACAGTAATTACATGAAGTATGTTGTAAAGCACATGTGCTTTGGGCACAGAAGGCCCAAGGTGCAGAAACAGCACAGAAGAGAGAAGGGTCAGTTCTGAATGGGAAATCAAAGCATGAGAGAGGAGTAGCTTTCAAGATCCACCTTCAGAGATGAGTGAGAATTCAGGCATAAAAGGGGGAGGAAATTAGACATTACAGTTGTGCAATGTGAAGTCCATGCATCTGAAAGATTTCGATGAGTACCGTACTGGTAAGAAGGCCTTGGTGGTAAAGTGATGAATGCAGTGTGCGTGTGTGTGAGGGGGCGGCGAGGGGGGAAGGGGGAAGAGAATGATTCTAAGGAAGGTTTAAAGATGAACTGTTTTCATTTTCAGAATACCCAGCAACTAGCAGATACTGGCTTCAAAAATTTCTACAACTCATTTCATTGTACTTCACACCAAGTAAAAATTTTTGTGATCAATTTTACTTTGGCATCGAAATAAAAGCCAATGAAGTAGAAAATCCAGTTTCACTTTAAAATGTGTTTTTTCACAGCGGCTAAAAATATTTTAAACTTTGGAATGGGATAAAGTAGGGAAAATATTTTATTTGGCAAAAATTTAAATAAGTTTTTGTCAGAAGCTAATATGTTTGAGCACTACCAGTCCCTTTTGACCAGAAAAACAAAACAAGGTGGAGTAAAAACATTTAAAATATGAGGAATACAAAACTAAGCAAAATAAAAGGAAAAAGTTTTCTTTGCCCAGAGACGTTTTATCGAGGCTTGCCGTTGTCATCGTTAGCTATGGAATGGAGTAGAGGCTTTACCTGTAAAATATTCCTTTCCTGTTGACTGCCCTTGTGAAGGTCCAAGCTGACATTTTCGCTTATCTTCATCTCTGCTAATTTAACAGCATGTTCCCCTGCCTCCTACAGCCTTAGAGAAGGTGATATAACTGTATCTTTAAAACACGTTTTTCGTGCGGCCCGAAGGAGCTTCTCTCTGACTGCACCTTGTGTTTCCTGGCAGATGACTTTCGATCCAGAAATCTTCTTCAATGTTCTGCTGCCACCAATCATATTTCATGCAGGATACAGCCTGAAGAAGGTAAATGGACAGTGATCATTTTCCTCTTTCATCATCAGTTAGAGAATGTTACCAGCAGTGCTGAGAAAACAATCATTCTGTGGGTTTACCTGTTTGGTAAGAAAGTCATTGTCTTAGATTATGTGATACAGATTGAAATCTGAGGTGCTTGCAGTTCTTGCAAACCTGCTCTGGCCAGCACACTGGCCGTTAGCCACGTGTAGTGTTAAAACTTTGAAATGCGCTAGTCTGAATGAAGATGTGCTTGAAGTGTAAAATACACCTTGGATTTCTCAGACCTAGTATTAAGAAAGAATGTAAAATATCTCAAGAATGTTTTATATTGATTTCATGTAGCAATGATAATGTTTGGGGTACATGGGTTTCATAAAATATCAAAATTCATTTTGCTTTTTAAAAACATTTTTTTTAGATAATTAGTTTTTTTTTATTAAAGATTTTATTTATTTATTTTTAGAGAGGGAAGGGAGGGAGATAGAGAGTGAGAGAAACATCAATGTGCGGTTGCTGGGGGTTATGGCCAGCAACCCAGGCATGTACCCTGGTTGGGAATCGAACCTTCGACACTTTGGTTCGCAGCCCGCACTCAATCCACTGAGCTACGCCAGCCAGGGACTTTTTAAAAACATTTTAACATGGCTACTAGAAAATTTTAAATAACATACGTGGCTTACATTATCTCTATTGGACATTGCTATTCTAGATGGCAGTTATCACAGAGCTGGCTGTCAATAACTTTGGGTTTATCCAGCAGGGTGAGAGCTCATGCACACTTGGTCAGCCCTCAGCTGGTGTCGCTCAGAGAGGAAGCCCAGTTCCATAGTCTCGGTGCTCTCGCCTGCCATTACTTGGGTCCAGCCTGCATGTACACGCCTGTTCGATTAGTAATCGCGTGACAGCTGGAGTGCTGGCAGCCACTGTGCCTCAGAGCAAGGCTCTGGCCTCTCCGAGTGTTGGGAGGCGGAGGCATCCAGGCTGCTGTGCTGCTTGCTGCCCGCCCCCATGCCGCATTCCTGGGCCCTCCACCTTGGCGTGTCCGCTCCAGTGCCAGGTGCCGGCAGCTTGCTCAGCACAGGCCTGGTTTTCTCCTGGACTCAGGCTCCCTCTTGCTGTCAGTTCTGGCAGCGCAGGCCCCACTCACAGAACCGGGAGGGAGGTTTCCCCAGCAAGCACTGGAAAAGACTAGGAAGGCTGGGTTCATTCAGGCCATTCTTCCTCATCCCCAGTCCCAGTACTAGGTGTTGTTTCGTATGACTCTGGAATAAACTGTTGTAGGTGATTAAAGTTTTGTTTTATTACACTCAGAAGAAATATAAGTCAGGAATCCAATAATAAAAGTCAGAAGGCAACTTACATCTTTTGGAATAGTACTTTTAAAATGCTAAAGAGTTCCAATGACAACAAACTTTTTAAAAACTCTCTTTTCGGGCCCCCGTGGACATGGCTCAGTCCCTTCCTTTGTCTCAGGTCTCACCGGGCCTGCGAGTTGTTTCTCGCATCTCTACTCCGTCATCTTCCAGGGGTTTTCTCTCCTTCCTTTTCCGAGATACCTCTGTCCTTTGCAGTATAGATTGGTTAAGAGTTATTGTGCAGCGAGACCAGAAACTGAGACTCTAACAACAAAATCTGCCTAAGCAGTGAGGGAAGGGAGAGGCAGTGAAATGCATACATTATTTTTATTCCCTGTTATACTAAGAAAACATGCTAATGTACAACATATATATATAATTATATATATATATAATATAATGTATATATATTTTTTCTCCCCAGAGACACTTTTTTCAGAACTTAGGATCTATTTTGACATATGCCTTCTTGGGAACAGCCATCTCCTGCATCGTCATAGGGTAAGTAACATTCAGAGCTCAAGTTCCCTGAGGCTGGTGGGCTGGCTACCTCCGGCAGGAATCTCACACTTCCTGGACTCACAGTGGCTGGGTGAATTGTCTATTCTTTTTTCAACATATCACATTTTTACACGTTTTTCTGATTCACTTCCAAGCCTTCTGACCAACACGTTTCACATCAAAGCAAACTGAAATCTGATTGCTAGATTTTCTCTGTGAGTTTTGGACTTCTGACTTAGGGAATGCAGATACCTTGGCTTGAATTATGTGAAGCACATTGCATTTTTCTTTTTTATTTTGGCTTAAATAACACAGATAAGCACACTGCATTCTTTTTCTATCTCCTTTGAAAGACGCTATCTGCATTTGACAGTGGTACGACAGTAACTACATGTCAAAGGTTTTCTTTCTAAGGGAAAGTTTGCAAGAGAGCAGTAAGAGACAGACATTTCCAAATAGCAGCAGCATTGTTTAACAATGGGATGGCTTTTCATTGGTACACTGTGGCATACAGACTCGTTTCTTTCTCATTATATATTACTGGTTTTGCTGGTGAATCTTAAATCTAACTATATAGACTCTGGCTTGCAGCTCATCATAAAGCAAAATGTGGTACAAAATGACAAAGCCAATCCAACTCACTTATAATTTTATCTGACATAGTAAATCTCCACTGCAGAAAACATATCCAGATGCTGTGACTAATGATAGGGATGTCAACTCCACCCTTGATTCTTACTGTATACAACTGCTAAGTCCCTAACACAACAAACTGAACATAACAACACATGCTAGTCGCTCATCCAGCCCTTCCCTTATGAATGGTTAGTGTGTCACTGGAAGGCTAAGGATTTTTCACACTACTTGTATCTGAAAGCAAGAAGTGGGGGTATGTTGAATTCTTTGTTACATTTTTATTGATTCAAGCCCAGAATAAATCAGGCTCCCTTATATGAAAATTTCCAGCATGCTTACAGCAGTGAGGAAGCTAAAGATTTTCATACCTGAAGGTGGAGGCTTGCAGGAAGGTGGACTGGGAAGCCTCATCAGGTCTGGACGCCTAAGGGATTTTGCAGTTTGTGAATGAGAGGCACAGTGGGCCTGAGCCTTCTTAAAGCATGCTCAGGGGAGGGCTTTCTGTTCTGTGGGTCAGCCATAGCTAAATATTCAAACTTCAAAGTTGGCAAGGGCCTTAGAGATCTGTGTTATTAAAGCCCCTCATTCTGAAGAGGAAGAAAGTAGCATCTTGAAAGGCTAATTAATAATTTTAATCATTATGGTCATGCGGTCAAGAAAGAATTCAGAACTTTGACTTCTCACCCAGTAGATCTTACCATCACCCCTTCTTATAGCAGTTTCCCTTGAATTTCTACACATCCCTATAGATTGTTCCTACACAGTGACAGAAGGCTCTGAGAGGTGCGGACTATCAATAAATGTCAATTTATAGCAAAGATTAATTTTTATCAGTCAGAATGCATCTAAGTCCTAAACTTGTAGACAATGCTGTCAACTTTTAGAATAATCAGTTTTCATTATTTCCCTGTTTCCTTTGTGTAACTGATTTTAAATATATTTAAGTATATGCATTTATATAATATACATTGACTGTCATAAAAATATATAAATCTAATTTTAAGTGTGACAATACATAATGTGTGTGTGTGTGTGTGTGTGTGTGTGAGAGAGAGAGAGAGATATAATTGAGTTGTTTAAAAAACTTCAAGAAATCTGGTGATACTCATTTCCAGGAGTTGAGAACCTCTTCTAATTGATTGTAAGAGTGAAATCAATGACTTATATTGGAAAGTGATTTGAATAACTTTTTAAATCATGTCATTTCTTTGAACTGAACATAATCTGAATGGCAAATATCTGTAGGGAGCCTTCTTAATGTGGGTCATTAAAATGCAGAAGGGATTGATTCATAGTTTAAAGATTTGAGGATCTTACTAGCAATGTAAAGGAAGCCATTGGAGAGCTTTAGCTTGAGGGTGAGAAGGTCACATCTACACTTTAGGAAGGTCATTCTAGTGAAGGAGAACTTTCAAAGTGGGGAAAAGATGGCAGCCAGGGTGCCAATCAAGGGGCAGTTTCCATAGACAAGATTAGAAGTGGTGAGGGCCTAGCCTCAGGCAGTAGCAGTAAAGGTGGATGTGATGTCATTAGCCAGTTGAAATCCTGAGAGAAAATGGGTCAAGTGTGTGGAGTGAGAAATAAAAGTACCCAGATAACAATACTATTTAAGGAGGTGCCCATAAAAGACCAAGAACCACTGGGCCTGAGAAACACGATGATAACCATCAGGGCATGTGTCTTCAAGTCAAAGGAAGAGGCAGAGGGAGGGTGGGCAGTGTTTGACATGGGAAAAGTCAAGTGAGATAGGAACTGGCATATCCACTGGATTCCCCCAAGGAGGTGATGGGTGACTTAGCACTTATCCTATGGCAGAAATTAGGGAAAAATAATGGCAGGGCTAATTGTTTTGGGTACTGTGTGATGAGAAGCAAAGATTTATTTTCATGCTGTTTTCTCCAGATGCAATTTCAGAACTTCTGAAGGAAAGGCACAACTGAAATTCAGACCGAACTAACACTTTCATAATCTGTGACTCCCATTGACCTTGGAAAGTGACCTGTTATATTTTTCTGATAAGTTAATGCTAATAAAAACAACACAACATTTATTGAGTACTTGATATGTACTATGCCTGTTTTAAAAGTACTTTATATGGGTTATTTTATTTAATCCTCAAAATAATCCTATTAGGTAGATACTATTATTACCCTTATTTAACAGTTGAGATAGCTGAGGATTAGAGAGAATGACATAAAGTTAAGAATAGAGCAAGTATTAGCAACTAAATAGTTTGGCTCCAGGGTCAACATTCTTAATGCCCAAAGTGTATTTACTTCTATATATTATAGGCAGTAAAAGTAAAATATAATTAACAAAAAAATATATTTGTGTAAATCAGTGAGCACTTACTAACATGCAACATCTTTCTTCATTAGCTCTGTGGGAGTTTTCACAGACAAAGATTTTTATTTGGAACTCCCATCCAAAAGGAATTTGCATTTGTAAGAGGAAGGGATGTCTGAGTTTGTGCAGATATACTTGCTTGTTATGGGCAGGAGGAGAGATTCAGGACAGTGGGTGAGACTGGACCCTGAGAATAATTTCAGAGAGCAGGGAGACTCTGGGTAGTCATTGGATGGAGAGGGATGAGGTAGCTGGATTTTTCCTGCCATCGGGTGCGTTAGTCCTGGTGAGTGTGATTAATGTTGTAAGGCTCCAAGTTGGAGAGCAGTTTCAGAGAGCAGTGTAAGAGGATGTGGGAACCGAAGTGCTGGAGAGTCAGCTGACACACGGCCATGAGGCCCAGGGTCAGAAGTTTACAGGACCATGCAGGCCCTGAGGAGTGCTGGAGCATCATGAGTGAAGACTCAGCCAGTGAGCTGTGGTCTTCTGCAGGGGAAGACTGTTCGAACTGCAGGCTGGGTTTAACACTGCACTCTAGTGCTGTATAGGAATTGAGATCATTGGGTCCATTCAAATGAAAGAGTTCTTAATTAAGTTCTGTTAACTTCACATTATTTCAGAAATTAGACCCAAACCATCTACTATTATATTTAATATTACATGGGAAACTTTAACAATATCCCTTTCAGTAATACAATCAGAGAAACATTTTAACAATTTTAAGGATGTACTGTTCTGAAAGAACTCAAATAGCTTTTCTAGTCCTCTCCTCCATTTTGCTACTTAAGAAATGTCTTAAATTCATCTCTGGTTTTGCTTATTAAAAAAAAAAACTTGCGTATTTGAAACGTTTCTCTGTTCCTGCGCTCCATCTTTGGGAACTCTCCTCGTGTCTTTGAGCCCGCATCCCCACCCTTCTGTGCCAGAGGAACGGGTCATCACAATGACAGCCTAATGCTCCCTGTCAGACACGCATCTTCTCCTGGGGACTAATTGGTTGTCAGTGAAACCCTTCTTTTTAAAGAAGCAATGAAAATGATCTTTAAAAGCTTTTGTGTATGTATATGGAATTTTTTTTAAATGCCATAATTTCCCAGATATTTGGAGAAAGAGACATGGGTTTAACTGATGAAGAACAGGCATTTATTTAAAAAGTTGCTCATTTTTTAAACCTCATCCCCTGTGCTGGACACTGACTTGTGCTTTTTACACACATTATCTCATTTTATTCCCACGATGCCCTATGAGACAAGTACTGCTTTAGCTTTATTTTACATACAGGGATGCTGAGTTTGAGACTAGCCCAGGGTTACACAGTAAGGAAATGGTAGGAAATAGCAGAGTCAGTCTGACTTCAGAACACAATCCCTGTCTCCCTCCTAATCTGCTGCTTTAGTATTCTTATAGTGTTTTACAGCAAATAACTACATCTGTCAGACCAACCAAGCCCTCGATAATTTCAGAATTTTACATTTATCTTTATGGCTAACAATGATGAGAAATCTGAGTGTCTAAGACTGAGCTCTGAGTATAATTGTAAAGTAGAAATGGAACCTGTCTTTTCTCACTGAAGATAGTTGGAGGGGTGGTGTGAATTATTTTCCTTGGTTAAAGTTCTGGGACTTGGAGTAACTCACTCTGGAAATCCTGGGTTTGGAAATGTTAGGTTGTTCATACTTTTCATACCAACATCCTCAGGAATGTTTATTTCCCTGTTATGAGCCTTAATATACACAGCATAGAAGCCATGCCAGACACTCTGTCCCTGTGTTCATGAGGCGTAGGAGTGAGGGACCCTTGGAAGCTCTCTCTCTGCCCTCTTGTGTCATTGTGCCCCGTGACATGGGGACCTTCAGGCCTAAGTACCCTTGGCTCTGGTTCTAGAATTGCTGTTGCTCTGTTCTTAAGTAGGAATACGTTTGGTGAGTTTTAGTAGTCTCAAAATGCTGACTTCTACACTTGGAAAAAGGGTCATTTGCTAGTCTAGAACCAAAACCTGAGGAAGTATAGTTCACAGA